TCACACCGCAATCCCTTCTCCTCCATTCTCCTCTCGGGATCTTGGGCACGCACACACACACACACACCCAGTGTGAGTTTAAGCCACCGGGTCCGGGACATGAACCGCAGTCGACTACGTGGGAGTCCAGCGACATAGCCATTACGCTAACTGCTGGTTCCCTAAATTCTTAATTTTTCAGAGCTGGGTGAGCCCCACGAGGGTGGTCACACTGCCGTGTTCTCTCCTTGTCAGGGTTGGGGCATGCACAGGGCTGGGGGCCGGGCCTGGGGCCGCGGGGGGCAGGCGGGGCCCGGCTCGGTGTATTACCGTGGGAGGCCGACACTGTCACCGCCATGCCAGCCGCCGCCCGCCCGCCCCACAGCTTGTCCACTCCCTGTGCAGGAGTCCGTGGTGTTGAACGGGTTCCCGAGGTCCTGCGACTTCAGCTTCTCCCCTCAGAGCAGCCCCGTCCCCAGCCCTGCACCCACGAGCCCCTCCCTGTCCCCGTAAGGAGAGGCCGTCCCTGCTGGCTGCTGGACAGGAGAGGAAGGCGGGGAGCAGCCCTCCGCCCACCCTCTCATCTCCGTGGGGCAGCTCCACACAGCCTTCCTGCCCTGCCCTTCCGGAAAAGCCAGTTGGCACCGCATCAAGGCGGGCACGGGGGCGGTGCTCCCCACACACGGCCAGCGCAGGCCCGTGGGCTCTTACCGTTCTCCGACACCTCGGGGCCATGCCAGGCTTTGAGGCCACGGAGCTCAGGGGAAACTGCGCTCCCGCCCCACCCCTACCCAGGAGCCACCATGGCCCTCGGCAGGACCTGGGGCAGCTCCTGGATGGAGACCAGTGGAGGCCAGGCTGCGTGGACGGCTGGACCAGACAGGTCCAGGAATGTGGGCCCCACTCCCGGGGAGCAGGAGGCTCCAGGGAGAGGCTGCCCACTCCCAGAGCTTCTCAGGCCAGGTCAGCCGTGCAGGCAGGACCAGGCCTTCCAGGCCTCTGTGTGTCTGTCCAACATGCCAGCCGGGGGGAGGGGGGCTCCAGTCACAGTGGGGGGCTCTGCTCACAGCCAGGGCTCCAGTGGTTCTGGGCACAGCCAGGGGGTCCGGTCACAGCCGGAGGGGTCTGGGCACAGGAGGAGGGGTCCCGTCACGGGAGGAGGGGGTCCAGTCACAGCCGGGGGTCTGGGCACAGCCAGGGGGTCCAGGCACAGGAGGAGGGGTCCAGTCACAACCAGTAGAGCCTGGTCATAGCCAGGGGAGTCTGGTCACAGCCGGGGGCCTGGTCACAGCCGGGGCGGTCTGGTCACAGCTGGGGGAGTCTGGTCACAGCCCCAGGGGACTGGTCACATGGGGGGGGTGTCCAGCCACAGCCGGGGGGGTCCAGCCCAGGCACCCCACAGGACGCCAGGAGCACCAGGCATGGCTGAGCGGCGTGGAGGAGCCAGAAGCAGGGTTGGACCGCCTGGTGTCCGCCCTGGAAGGACTTGGAAGACACAGGGTAACTGGCAGAGCAGGGCCTGGGAGGTGGCATTTCCACAGAGGCCGAGGCTGGGCCGCTGGGCCATGGGGTGGGAGGGGAGGTTTGTGACAACCCTTGGGTGTCTCTCCCAGTCCCCCAGGAGTCAGGGTCAGGGCGTTTAGGGTTGAAAGGTCCCTCCTGAACAGCCCCAGGGAGAGGAGCCGGCTGTGCAGGGCGAGGTGCTCAGGGTCAGCATCTGGGGAAGGCCCCTCCCGTCCTGTTATTCCGGACAGCCAGGAGGTGCGGGCGCTCAGCCTGCGCGGAGCTGGCCTGGGTCCCTGCCTGACAGCCCCCAGGGGCTTGTGCTCCCAGGGCCGGCCACCTCTCTTCCTTATGCGAAAACGCGTAGTGAAAAATAGCTTTCTGGACCAGCAGATGCACAGCGGTGCTGGACTCCCACGTAGTCCACTGCGGTTCGAGTCCCGGACCTGGTGGCTTAAAACTCACACTGGGTGCCTGTGCATGTGTGCCCCAAATCCTGAGAGGAGAGTGGACAAGGGCTTGCAGCATGGTCATGCCCAGGGGGTGATTTCACTTTATTACTTTTAATTTAACCACAGAGGGCAGAGTGAGTGACAGAGAAAGGGAAAGTGAGAAAGCAAGTCACCAAAGTTAGCCACTGGGCAGTCCAGCACCTTTAACCACCATGACACCTGCCAGCTCCCCAAATAATATTCTTAAATTTACATATATTTATTTTAGATGTTTTGCCAGAGTGTCTGCACTTGCTGGAGAGAAATATACGCACAGGGGTCTGGAGGGATGGCCATGCCACAATCCCTTCTCCATTTTCCCCTCGGGGTTTTGGGCACACATGTGCACCTGCCAGGATTTGAACTGCAGAAAGAGGTGGCTGTGTGGACCCAGCTTCCTGAAGGCCCCAGACGTGCTCTCTAACCTGCAGTTTAGTTTGCCTGTGTGCCCCATGCCCTGCCACATTGGGGGTCGTCCTGGAAGGCCTCCCTTTGGAAACAGGGGACTTGGCCCTCCTGCCTCTGGGGCCAGGACTGACAGCAGGGATCGGGTTGGAAGACACAGGGTAACTGGCAGAGCAGGGCCTGGGAGGTGGCATTTCCACAGAGGCCGAGGCTGGGCCGCTGGGCCATGGGGTGGGAGGGGAGGTTTGTGACAACCCTTGGGTGTCTCTCCCAGTCCCCCAGGAGTCAGGGTCAGGGCGTTGAGGGTTGAAAGGTCCCTCCTGAACAGCCCCAGGGAGAGGAGCCGGCTGTGCAGGGCGAGGTGCTCAGGGTCAGCATCTGGGGAAGGCCCCTCCCGTCCTGTTATTCCGGACAGCCAGGAGGTGCGGGCGCTCAGCCTGCGCGGAGCTGGCCTGGGTCCCTGCCTGACAGCCCCCAGGGGCTTGTGCTCCCAGGGCCGGCCACCTCTCTTCCTTATGCGAAAACGCGTAGTGAAAAATAGCTTTCTGGACCAGCAGATGCACAGCGGTGCTGGACTCCCACGTAGTCCACTGCGGTTCGAGTCCCGGACCTGGTGGCTTAAAACTCACACTGGGTGCCTGTGCATGTGTGCCCCAAATCCTGAGAGGAGAGTGGACAAGGGCTTGCAGCATGGTCATGCCCAGGGGGTGATTTCACTTTATTACTTTTAATTTAACCACAGAGGGCAGAGTGAGTGACAGAGAAAGGGAAAGTGAGAAAGCAAGTCACCAAAGTTAGCCACTGGGCAGTCCAGCACCTTTAACCACCATGACACCTGCCAGCTCCCCAAATAATATTCTTAAATTTACATATATTTATTTTAGATGTTTTGCCAGAGTGTCTGCACTTGCTGGAGAGAAATATACGCACAGGGGTCTGGAGGGATGGCCATGCCACAATCCCTTCTCCATTTTCCCCTCGGGGTTTTGGGCACACATGTGCACCTGCCAGGATTTGAACTGCAGAAAGAGGTGGCTGTGTGGACCCAGCTTCCTGAAGGCCCCAGACGTGCTCTCTAACCTGCAGTTTAGTTTGCCTGTGTGCCCCATGCCCTGCCACATTGGGGGTCGTCCTGGAAGGCCTCCCTTTGGAAACAGGGGACTTGGCCCTCCTGCCTCTGGGGCCAGGACTGACAGCAGGGATCGGGAGGGAGTGGGTCTCCAGCAGCCCGGCCAGGGTTTCCTGGCAGCCCGGATGTGGGATGTGGTACTTCCCAGGGGGCAGAGAGGCAGGGGGGGGGAGGCTAGCCCAGCCTGTTTACAGCCCGGAGGGGCTTTGAAGCCAGCAGGCGGCCCTGGCTACCTCCTGTCTCCTGTCTCCTCCTCACGTAGCTTCCCCTGGGGCTCCTCCTGTGGAAGGCCCCAAGGCTGGGCTCCTTAGACAGCTGTTCCAGCACAGTGCCCCCAGAGAGGGCCTCCTACGCAGTCCCAGCCCCGACCTGGTGGGACTGGCGGGCCACACCTGTCCCGGCAGGGGCGCGCCCCCCGCAGGGGCAGCCCCAGCCCTGGCTGCCCCTGCTATTTTTTCTCTGGGACTCACACGCCAAAGAAGGGGCCCACCCGAAGGGCAGAGGACGCGTCACCAACACCGTGACCCGTGACTGTCACTGCATCCGAGTACAGCCCCATCCCCAGGAACTGCCACTCAGGACCCCCTCCCCGTCCCTGTAGGTGGGGTCCCACGCGGCGCGGTGTCGTGCAGAACAGTGGCGGGAACACGCAGTGCCCGGGGAGCACAACCTTACAGGGAGACTCGGTCCACTCCTCCCAGCTGCCCAGGCAGACAGAGCCAGCCCGCGCTCCAGCCGCCGGAGGACGGGACTCAGGTTTGTTCGCAGGTTGCCTTAACCCCACAGGGCAAGGCGGGCTTACGAGTCACGCAGCGAGGCTCGGGGCGTCCACCAGGGCGTGGAGGAGGCCGAGTGCGGCGCACGCTGGGCATCTGTGAGGCACAGTGAGGCGGAGGAGTCCCACGAAGGTCTTAGAGAACGAGGGTGGCGGCTGTCAGGAGCTGACCGAGCAGAGCGAAGAGGAAATGTCCACCTGGGGGTCCTAGAGTACGGAGGTCGGGACTGGTGGCCGACCAGCGGAGGGCCGTCTGGGAGAGGAGTCGGTGCGCGAACCGGCAGAGCCTCCGGCACAAGGCAGGTCTCAGGCGCAGCGAGAGGGGATCTGGCCAAGCGAGGACAGAGCCGGTGAACTGCTCAAGGTCCGGGCTTTCAGTTTCTGCAGTCTCGTGGCTGGCGAGGAGAGGGCCCTTCTGTGGCCCTGTCCTGCTCAGATGGTCACCGACGTCATTCCGAGGTAGGCAGCCACCCTGGTGAGGCGCCTTATCCCGAGTCATTTTGGCGCGAGTCCCCAACTTAAAATGGTGTCACTTTGGTTCACACTGTATAGCACTTCAAACTAGAACCCTGACACACGACCGTGACAGCCAAGGTTACAAGAGATGTGCTAAGTCCAGCACCATTCGCTGTCACGCTACAGAAGTCGGCCATGGAGACCTTCCCACTGTGTGTCCCGGCGACCCAGCGTGTCCACCCTGGTGTGGAGGCCTGCGGGCCCAACGTCCCTGTCCCAGGGTGGCCATCCTTGCCACCATGGGCGCCACCGCATCCCGGCGTGGCGGGCGGCTGTGGCGGGCCCGGCGGGTTTTGCTGCCGGTGCGCTGGCTCCGCTCCCGAAGTGCGCAGAGCCTCTGGCGGGCTCCCTGTGGGAACGAAAGCGTCTCCCGGCTGGCCGTCTCCCTCGCTCAGCGTGCTTTGACTTTTTTTTTTTGCTATAGGGCACATGCGTTTGCTAGAAAGACAGAGAGAGGGAAATCGAGAAATCACCCCACGCCGCAATCCCTTCTCCTCCATCCTCCTCTCGGGATCTTGGGCACGCACGCACACGCACCCGGCATGAGTTTCAGCCAGGGTCCGGGACTCGAACCACAGTCAACTACATGGGAGTCCAGCGACATAGCCATTACGCCATTTGCCGGTCCCCAAAACCTCTTATTTTTTAATTGCGATAAAATGTATAAAATATAAAGTTCACAGTTTTAACCCTG